TCATCTATACTTATCTCATCTATGCCACGTCTATACTGTGCCTCGACCCCACTGTGCTACCGTTTTTTTTTTTGTGTCTGTTACCACTTTTTCTTAGCTCTCACCGAACGGATTCCTTTCAACGATACGTCAAAAGATCACAAATCGTATCTAGTCGAAGACATTACCCTTCAAAATTGAAAAAATTTCCCTCGTTCCCCGTAAATGGGGGAAACCTCCAAAAAAATTACAAATTTAAAAATCGCTAATTTTCGAANCCTCCAAAAAAATTACAAATTTAAAAATCGCTAATTTTCGAAATTTTTTCAATTTTTTTTACTAAAATGTTCCGTAATTTTTCAAAAATGAACATATCAATATAATTTTTTTTATATAGATGCTTGATGTCCTTACCTATTATTTGGTATATTTTTTTTGTAAATTTGACCCTTTTTCTGCCCACAGGGGGGGATTTAAAATGACAACTTTTTCACAAAAAATTAACTTTTTCAACTTAACTTTTGAAAATGTTCCGGAAGGTCTGACACTTTTATATATATATCTTAAATTAAACATAATATAATGTATATTATAATGAAATAAAAAAAATTGACCTCTGGACTTGTCTTCGTGATGAAAATTGCTACAGAACGCAATTTGATTTTATTTTTTACATTTTTAACTTTATAATGATATAATAATATAACTTATTGAAAAGTGTATGGATCAACACAATTTTTTTACGTGAAATAATATTTTTTAATAATCCTTTTTTCATTCGACATGCATTATCTTTCTTTAGTATTACAAAAGAATTCCCCTTATCTGACTTTAAATAAAAACAGTTTTTATTTTTTAAAAAAGAACTTAATATCAGAGAAGCAATAGAAATGTTTAAAAATAAAAACAATTTAATTAATTGGGATCTTGGCCCACTGAAAAATTCATTATTAAACTTGTGTAAACTGGCAAAATGTGATAATATTACTTAGTGATGACGTCACTCGGTGATAAGGCCACTAGGGGTATATAAGGGAGTTTTTTCTAGTCGGGGTGTCAGTATGTATTTAGCATTGATAATGGTAACATTGTTTCCGAAATACGTATTCGCGACTTTTCATTAATTTTTTCTGGCTTTGAGTTTAATATTTTTTAGTTTTTTAAATTAATAATATTTTTAATATAGTTTTAATTTTACTTAATTAATTAGCCACAAGTGATCAATTTTTATTATATTTTATATTGATATGTTCATTTTTGAAAAAGTTACGGCAGTTTTTAGTAAAAAAAATTGAAAAAATTTCGAAAATTAGCGATTTTTAAATTTGTAATTTTTTTGGAGGTTTCCCCCATTTACGGGGAACGAGGGAAATTTTTTCAATTTTGAAGGGTAATGTCTTCGACTAGATACGATTTGTGATCTTTTGACGTATCGTTGAAAGAAATCCGTTCGGTGAGAGCTGAAAAAAAGTAGTAACAGACACAAAAAAAAAAATAAAAAAAAAAACACATCATAGTAAAACCAATACTTTCTCAGCTTCGCATCAAGCTAATAAATATTATCGAAAATTTGTTGAAAAAAATCTATTCAATTGCGTGTATAATAAAATTTGATTATAATTGTAAAAGTTCATAGTTAAATGTAGTTGAAGTTAAAAATCATTTTTTTTTTCAATTCAACAATAAATACATTAGAATTGAATGATTTTAATTGTCTATATGGGAAATATCGTCTAAGTAATTTTTTATTTAATAAAATGGAAATGTTTTCAATTTTTGAGGATAATATCTTTAACTTGATAATAGTTGTCATCATTTGATGTATTGTTAAAAAGAGAAAGTCAAGTGAAAGTTATGAAAATAAATTAGAGCCAAAAAAAAATCATATAGTAACATAATTTTAATATGAATAAGAAATTTCTTCAAACGAAGGGAGATTACAATGATGGGATTCTTGATAATCCTTGAAGTTATTGAATCTTAATGAAATAAAAATCCAAATACAATACAAAATCGAGAATCATCAAATTTTCATCATGACGACAAAATAAAGTTAAAAAAAATGTTTTCATAATAAAGTATATAGCTATAATTTAAGGTATATATAAAACTGTCAGTATTTCCGGAACACTTTCAAAAGTTAAATTTTTAAGAAAAAGTTGTCATTTTGAATCTCCCATGGATAAAGGGTCAAATTAATAAAAAAATGTATATAAAATGATTGAAAAGTCCCTTACGTATTTATAGAAAAAATAAATATATATTAATTCAGTAAAATTTAAAAAAGTTATGGCAGTTTTAAGCAAAAAAGCTTGAAAAAATTTCGAAAAGTATCGATTTTTAAATTTATACATTTTTTTGGATATTCCCCTCATTTACGGTAAATGAGAGATATTTTAAATTTTTGAAGGAATTTTATCAAAAACACGATTCATGTATTAAACAGTATTAATATGAATATTTTTAAGTATTAGTTTTTATAATTTTGGCCATTTAAATTTAAATTTTGTTCAATTTTTTCACAATTAAAAGCATAATTTGACTTTTATAGTGTTAATCTCTAAATTTACTATACATTTTTGAACGTTTTATCAGCTATTAACTTTTAAATATTTATTTATTTGTATGAATTTTGTTATTTATTGTATAATTCCAATTAAAATAATTCATTTATTATTGTTGAATTTTTAATTATGAACAGGTATTTAATATATTATTTTTATAGCTCTAATGCATAGTATATTATTTTTCCCCTCTCGTGTAATAAGCAATAATTAAACTATAATAATTTTAATAATATAATGGTGATAATAGGGGCAGGAGAGGTGGAGGTATGTAATATGAGGTTAAAGACTATTTTGGGGTTGAACTATGTTGAGCTATCAAATAATAAAATTATCTCTATGTCATTTATTCTTATTCTTGTTTATTACTTGAATTTATTAGAAGTAAAGCATGCAAATAAATGTTCGCACTTATCTTAATTTCCTTTTGTAGTTGTTAAAAAAAACCCAGCACAGGGGGGTCGCGGCACAGTTGTGACGTGGAATAGTTGGATCAAGTATAATGATATCTGACAGTGATTAAAATCACTATCAAAAATAAACGCTTCGATGCAAATCTTTAGATAGTGTTTAATTTTAAAAAAATTGGTGTTTTATTCCAAAAGCTACTTGATCTGCTGGTTCCTTATTAATATCTCGATTAAGATAAAGTATGTCGAATGAAAAAGGGTTTATTAAAAAATATTATTTCTCATAAAAAAATTGTGTGGATCCATAAACTTTTCAATAAGTTATAGCATTATAAAGTTAAATATAATATAAATAATAAAATCGAGAATTTTCACACGAAAATAGCATTCGGTAGCCATTTTCGCCGTGAAGACAAGTCCAGAGGTCAAATTTTTTTTTTTCAAATTAAAGTATATTACATTAGCTTTAATTTAAGATATATATAAAAGTGTCAGACCTTCCGGAACACTTTCAAAAGTTAAGTTGAAAAAGTTCTACTTTCTATATGCATTTTTTATATTTGAAGCCCCCCCATATATAGGGAAATAGTCTGATTTAAAAAAAAAGTATATCCAATGAAAGATGTATATAAATACTACTTCTCATGAAAAAATTGTATTGATTCATACATTTTTTAAAAAGTTATAGCACTTTAAAGTAAAAAATGTCAATTATAAAATCAAAAATGTTCATACAAAAATAGCATTCGGTAGCCGTTTTCACCATGAAGACAAGTCCAGAGGTCAATTTTTTTTATTTCATTATAATATACATTATATTATGTTTAATTTAAGATATATATATAAAAGTGTCAGACCTTCCGGAACATTTTTAAAAGTTAAGTTGACTTGAAAAAGTTAATTTTTTGTGAAAAAGTTGTCATTTTAAATCCCCCCCTGTGGGCAGAAAAAGGGTCAAATTTACAAAAAAAATATACCAAATAATAGGTAAGGACATCAAGCAAGGGGTACTTTTTTAATTTTTAGCAATTAACTCGTAAATTAGTACTCTCACAAAAAAAAAATATCAAAACTAAATTGTAGATCTAATTGTTTTGTATAAATTAAGTCCTTACAGTTTTTCTTTTAAATCTATTAGTTTTCTAGAAAAATGTCAAAATACATAATATTTCGTAAAATTGCCGAAATTAGCATATTTACAAATATTTCATCATATATGACGAACCATATGTGATACGATCTAATGTTTCATACAAAAATTGTTTAAAATTAAATTTTACGAAATAAAAGTAATAAGTAAAAATTTTATTGAATCGATCGTTTTATTGCTATAGCTGAAATAACTCGATCATATTACGATTTTTACTAAATATATGAATTTTAATGCTAGATTCTGTTAGTTATCATCTGGTTCATTACAACACTTATCGTACAAGTACGGCGATAATACTATGGTATGACTGAATTAATGTGTTGTTATTATTTTGAAATTATAAATAACTCTGGAAATCTTAAATTTATTACAAATTGCAGCAATAGATATAGTGAATTCATACTTATACCACTTTAGTCTCTCACATCGCGTATTAAGTTGAACTGCTTCCTATTGTGTTTTTCTTTTAGTGTACGTAAAAATGTCCGTAGTATTACGAAATGACAATAAAATATTTTTAATAGGGTCTTTGACTACTCAAATTTTAGGTTCAAAACTTCCATCCATTGGACAAGTTCTAAAAGTTTTTTTTTATAACCTAAGAATTGTTAATCTTACTATAAGAGCAAAAGAAGCATTGACTATTCGCAAATGTAATATTTTCTGGGAAATGGACGATTCCATTTCAACCGAAATAAAAAAATTAATGGTTGTATCCCTTAATAATGAGTCAATAATAAACCCTAGTAAACGTTTTATTCTTTCATCGAGTCATATTGACAAATCATTTTCAGGTATAATAATTTTTGATATCTTTATTTTTTGATGATTATTGAGTGATTGATATTTTTTTTTAGAAAAAACTGTAGCTTCTTTTTTGTCAAAAAGCAGTATGAAATTTTTTAAACGATTCGATATCAATACTAATTTTTTAAATTTGGATCCAAGTAATTGGAATACTGATAATTTTTATTTACACGGAAAAGAAATTGTATGTTCACTTAAAGTAGTAAATGACTCTGCAGATAAAGCGGTTAAGGTAATGGAAGATTTTCATGAAAGTTTAACTGTAAACGATGAAAAAGCTGAGTTACTTTTACACTGTGTGTTCAAGAGCATAGAATATTATATCCTAATTGCAACAAAAAAACATTAAAACATAGTTTTTAATGTATATTTTTGTTATAATTTGTGAATTATTTTGAATTTAACATTTTGTATTTTATGTAGTAACTTTTTTTTAATTTATACAATAATATTAAGAAGTAAGTATAATTATGCGTTTAAGTCAAACAAATACATCACTTTACAATATAAAGGAAATATATTTAAATTAAGCAATAAAATTCATATATTTAGTAAAAATCGTAATATGATCGAGTTAATTCAGCTATAGCAATAAAACGATCGGTTCAATGAAANGAGTTTTTTCAGTTATAGCAATAAAACGATCGGTTCAATAAAATTTGTACTTCATACTTTTATTTCGTAAAATTTAATTTTAAACAATTTTTGTTGTTTACATTATATATATTTGTATTGAGCCGAATGCGTACTGCGACGGCGTTTATCAGTTTGTGCGCGCGCAAGATAGTCAGCTATGTACTACTTTAGACCGGTTAATGGACGGCATTTGTGTGTATATTGTATCAGACCNGGTTAATGGACGGCATTTGTGTGTATATTCAACCCGCTCCTTTCCTATCTTGAACGTCATTTTCATTGCTCACCACAACATTGTCGCCATATGATTTAAATTGTTCTTAATAATTTCCGGCACTGGGTATTTAGTTTTTTTTTGACCCCTACTCTAAAGGCTAGCAGTGTTGTCGCCAACGAAACGCCAGGACAAACGCTGGACATTTTGTCGGAAATTAGCCATCATCGGAACTGGTTGTCGCTAATTTTCGTCCGTAGCGGTTGTGGTTGTTGTTGTGTGCGCTACAAATATTTTATATATATATTTTTTTGTCGCGAGTGTCCGCTATTTTTTTTATAATGTCAATTCTTTGTTCGTTGGCGTCGGCTGAACCTGTCTCCAGTTTTCTTTAGCCCTTCGGGGCTGGTAACGTATAATTTTTGTTTACCATGTTTTGAGCCAGAATATTTTAGCTTCGATGCGAAGCTGAGAAGGTATTGGTTTTACTATGATGTGTTTTTTTTTTTTGTGTCTGTTAACACTTTTTCTGAGCTCTCACTGAACGGATTTCTTTTAACGATACGTCAAAAGATCACAAATTGTATCTAGTCGAAGACATTACCCTTCAAAATTGAAAAAAATTCCCCCGTTCCCCGTAAATGGGGGAAACCTCCAAAAAAATTACAAATTTAAAAATCGCTAATATTCGAAATTTTTTCTACTAAAAACTGACGTAACTTTTTCAAAAATAAACATATCAATATAATATTTTTTTTATATATGTTTGATGTCTTTACCTATCATATGGTAAATGTTTTTTGTAAATTTGACCCTTTATCTGCCCACAGGAGGGATTTAAAATGACAACTTTTTCACAAAAAATTTACTTTTTCAACTTCACTTTTGAAAATGTTCCGGAAGGTCTGAAACTTTTATATATATATATATCTTAAATTATAGCTAATGTAATATACTTTAATTCAAAAAAAAAAATTTGACCTCTGGACTTAACTTCATGGTGAAAATGGCTACCAAATGCTATTGTTTTCTGAAAATTCTCGATTTTATAATTTACATTTTTTACTTTAAAATGCTATAACTTATTGAAAAGTGTATGGATCAACACAATTTTTTTATGAGAAATAATATTTTAGCTTCGATGCGAAGCTGAGAAGGTATTGNTATGAGAAATAATATTTTTTAATAATCCCTTTTTCATTCGACATACTTTATCTGAATCAGGATATTAATAACGAACTAGCAGATCATGTTGCTTTTGGAATAATACACCATTTTTTTTAAAATTAAACACTATCTAAAGATTTTCATCGAAGCGTTTTTTTTTATAGTGATTTTAATCACTGTCAGATATCATAATACTTGATCCAACTATGCCACGTCACCACTTTGCCGTGATCCTCTTGTGCTGGGTTTTTTTATTCTAATACTGATAATTATGATTTAACCTTTTNATTTTTTATTTTTGTAACCTTTCAATGTCAAATTAAAGAGGTATATAAATATTATTTTTCATAAAAAAATTGTTTTGATCCATTCATTTTTCAAAAAATTATAGCATTATAAAGTTAAAAATATAAAAAAGAATTTTTTCACAAAAATCGTATTTTTCTTATTAAATTTGATGACCGTTTTCTCTATTAAAACAAAATAAAGTCCGAAATTTTTTTTTTTAATATTAAATTTTATTACATAAGCATTAATTTAAGATATATATAAATGTGTCAGTATTTTTGGAACACTTTCAAAAATTAAGTTGAAAAAGTTCTTTTTTCTATATGCAATTTTCAAATTTGAAGCCCCCTCGTATATAGGGAAATAATTTGATTTAAAAAAAAAGTATGTCAAATGAAAGTTGAATATAAATACTAATTCTCATGAAAAAATTGTATTGATCCATACATTTTTTAAAAAGTTATGACATTTTAAAGTTACAAATGTAAAATCGAAATTTTTAACACAAAAATAACATACGGCTATTTTCACCGTGAAGACAAAATAAGGTCCGAAATTTTTTTTTCCATAATAAAAAATATTACATTATCTTTAATTTAAGATATATATAAAAGTGTCAGTATTTCTGGAACACTTTCAAAAATTAAGTTGAAATATTTTATTTTTTGTGAAAAAGTTGTCATTTTGAATTCCCTCCTGTGGGCTGGTAAAGGGTTAAATTTATTAAAATTTATATTGATTTGTTCATTTTTGACAAATTTATGGCTGTTTTAATTTAAAAAAATTGAAAAATTTCGATAATTAGCGATTTTTAAATTTGTAATTTTTTTGGAGGTTTCCCCCATTTACGGGGAACGAGGGAAATTTTTTCAATTTTTGAGGGTAATATTTTCGACTAGATACGATTTGTGATCTTTAGACGTATCGTTGAAAGAATTTGGTTCGGTGAGAGCTGTGAAAAAGTGGTAACAAACACAAAAAAAAATAAACACGTTATAGTAAAACTAATATCTTCTCAGCTTCGCATCGAAGCTAAAAGGATTCTATAAAATAGGATAGCATCTATTATTATTTGTAATTTTTTTATATTTTTTAAATGCTTTTCAAATTATATATAATTATATAATTATCAAATTATATATACTACTATATTTCTACTAATAATATTTTCAATGAATTATCTATAGTCGATATTGAAATTTTTATAATTCACTCTGAAGTTTCCTACTTTACGAACTATATATTTTATAATGAACTCTACCCGGACTACTAGTTCTGTAGCTGTGTAGTCAACGGATATAGCGTACTTCAAAAATATTTTTTTGGTATATAAATTTAGTACTACTCTTTACCTCAACTGCCCACACGTTACTGAAAGGTAATTGGCATAGTCTTTTATGGTTGGCGAGTACACAGGCTGATGTTTTATTACTAAGACTAATTAATTCTAATCAAAAATTAAGCTTCTTCACTTTTTTTGGCACATTTAAATCTGTTCAAAAATGAAAGCTACAATAATATTTAACACCTTTATAAATTACAAACTATATATAATAAATAAAATTATGCTTCTTCACTTTTTACGGCACATTTAAGGTTGTCCAGAAAAGAGGGGCACAATAATATTCAAAACTTATATAAAATACAAACTATATTTATTTCTTGCAAGGATATTAAGAAATAGTAAAAATAAATAAAACTTATATCTGAGTAAAATATTAAGTTGTAAGGACAAACTATTTACATATACTGACGCAGATTCCATGTAAGAAAATATTAACCATGAGCTACAGCTCAGAGATGAGGAGCGAGGCAGAGAAAGAGACAAAGACGCAGACACATTCTCGGACCCCGACCTTGCTTTTTATATGCCGGATAAAGTAAGCCAGTCTATTGAAATTCCTGAGATGTTGAATAATTATTTGTGATTGGTTCATTGTGATAGAAACCCTGATGTGGGCGTACTTAATGAATTGAAAGGGACTTGTTTGAAACATGTGTTAATAAATGATTATTTTGTTTACTCTAAAATGGAAACATTCCTTACATGACTTTTTCTTTATTCATATATATATATATGATATATAGAACATATGTTAATAATTATACTACATTGGTTTTGATAAAACATCTTCTAGCTGAATTAAAACTAGTGATATTTTAAAATAAATAAACATAGAAAGTTACTGCTCACGTAGAGTATTAATTTTTTTTCTGTATTGAATTATGACAATACTCAAGTATTGTTATGAGGTTGTATTTACAATATGTATCTTTTCTCAGAGTGTGTTAGGGGAATATTCAAGATCCCTATATAAGCCATCAACAACCTACAGTATTATTTTATTTACTCTAAACACTAAAAATAATAAGTATTGTACAGTGAATATTAAAACATATCTGTGAGTAGTGTGTGTGTGTGTGTGTGTTATTATAATACAATGTCTTTAAGTATAATCGATATGAAGTGTATACTCGGACCGGAGAATAATAACTTAATTAAAGAACTATCAGTAATAGATATCGAATCTTTAGTAACACAAGACTTAATTTTTAAACATAAATTTACAATACAACAATCATTTTTAAGTTATAATGTACATAAATGGCTATCGTGGATTAGACACTTTATGTCAGAAAATGGTATACATGTTGAAAGTTCTCTAATTCAAAAGATTTTAAACTCACTACCATTTGAATACATTTATGTAAAAGAACGAAAGAAATAACAAATACTTTCAAAGTTTATACCAACCCTGAAAATTTCAAATTTGGAAAGTTTGAGTATGCCGCGTATAGACCAGTTAGAACCAGCGTGATACCATATCAGCTTATTGTTAAGAGGAGGGATTTGTATAGAATTAGTCCACGATAGGAAGTGTTCTGGTTGTATTGAATGAGCAGTCTTATTAGATGTAGGCGAGTATTTAGCTGTTTCCTTTTACTTTTAAGACGAGTACCCCATGTAAGCGTTCTATCGAATAGTAAGACCTGGTATTTCGCTTCCCTTGCCTGAGAAATAATGGTGTTATTGAGAGTTATGTTAGGGCAGTCATTTTGACGAGGGGCGAATGTGATGTGGGTAGATTCTAGTTCATTCATTTTTATTTTCCAGGTGTCACATCAATAAGATTNTGATGTGGGTAAATTTTAGTTCATTCATTTTTATTTTCCAGGTGTCACATCAATAAGATTATATTTGGGAGAGATTGTAAAAATTT